CCAGCTCCCTCAGCCTCTCCTCATAGGACTTGTGCTCCAGTCCCTTCCCCAGCCTTGTTGCTCTTCTCTGGACCTGCTCCAGCCCCTCCATGTCCTTCCTGAACTGAGGGGCCCAGAACTGGACACAGCACTCGAGGTGTGGCCTCACCAGCACTGAGTAAAGGGGAAGAATCACTTCCCTGCTCCTGCTGCCACACTGTTCCTTATCCAGGCCAGGATGCCATTGGCCTTCTTGGCCACCTGGGCACACTGCTGGCTCATGTTCAGCTTCCTGTCAATCCCAACTCCCAGGTCCTTTTCTGCCTGGCTGCTCTCCAGCCACTCTGTCCCCAGCCTGTAGCGCTGCAGGGGGTTGTTGTGGCCAAAGTGCAGGACCTGGCACTTGGCCTTGTTGCACCTCATCCCGTTGGAATCAGCCCAACTCTCCTGCCCAAACAGGACAGCACTGAAAGGGGAGGTGGTAGCCAGCCATCTTTGTTAAGGAGGAATGCAAAATAAACTCAATATTTCTGTTTGCCTCATTTTCCCCCTTACTCTGAATGGCTTTGCAGTCTGCCTTCTCTCTTCCTGTCAAAGGGAAATGCCCAAAGGGAATTTGTAAAGCTTGACTATTTCCCACCTTGTCCTTCTTTAAAATTCAGATGTGGTTCCTAAACTCCAGCATCTCAGAAAGTGGTTCTTTTCCTGGATCATGCATGTGCTATTAGACATGAGGAAAGGTGTATGTTCTGAGCTTTGTTTAATCAGAGATGTCTGTAATCATGCTAGAACACAGCTGAAGTCAGTACCTGCAGACTTGCATTGCTGGGAAGTTGAAAGCACTTCCGTATCAGGTTGTTGGATTATTCTACAAAATTTGTTCCACCTATGATCAAGCAAAAAGGTAGTCCAGAAATACTATGATTTTGCTGTACCGCATGTGATTTTTTCCCAGTTCCTAACTCTTGAGTTCCTCACTGGCTGATAAAATCAGTTCTTCACACTCAAGGATGTAGATTCTTTTCTTTCTGCCTAAGTTTAATCTTGAAGCAATTCCCTGCTGAGCCATTCTAAGCAAGCTGTGCATTGAGCTGTATCCCACCACTTTAGGTTTCCTAATATGCCAATTTAGCCAGAGTGGAAAGACAAAGCATAATGTCACTTCATCATACTTGGCTTCCTGTGCTGAAACCATGTGCTTTTTGCCTGGATAGGGATCAAGGGGTTTTTACTATTTGGTGTGTGAGGCATAATTTTATCTCAGCACTCAGGAGAATTATAGCCTTCACTAGGGGATGGGGGGAAAAAGGTCTGTGGTGTAATAAAGGTGAAAAAGAGAACAGAATCTTCTCTTTATTGTTTCTAAGCAGGATTCAAAAGGAACTTTTTACAAGGACATGTAGTGATAGGACAAGGGGTGATTGCTTTAAACTGAAAGAAGTTGGGTTTAGATTTGATATTAGGAAGAGCCTCTTTACTCTGAGGGTAGTGAGACACTGGCACAGTTTGCCCAGAGAAGATGTGGATACTCCATACCTGGAAGTATTCAAGGCCAGGTTGGAAAATGCTCTGAGCAACCTGTTCTAGTGGAAGATGTCCTTGTCCATGGCAGGGGGGTTGGAAAGAGATGTCCTTTAAGTCACTTCCAACCCAAATCATTCTATGATGCTATGAAATACAGCTCTCAAGTCAGTGAGACATCTGAGCCCTGTTTTCTGGTAGGTATTTGGTGTACTCTTGGCCCTGCACCTGATGTCAAGTACACAACTTTAGCACTGGGTGGTGCAAGCCCTCTTATCTTTTCCCACTGCCTGTTCAGGTCACACAGAGAGATTGCAGCTCTTGTCCAGTCTAAGTTCTGGCCCTGGCAGGGAGTGGCAAGGGACAAGAAACTGGATCTAATGGGGGACAATAACTCTCCCTTTGCCATCTGTGGCGAGTTTGTGCTTGGTGCTGTTCACAGTACTTATTGGGGTTGTGTTTTCTGTTTGTCCAGTGTTTGTGCAGCATGATGCTGCTCAGCTGTTTCTGCGTCTCTGGAACTTGATAAAGAAGCAGATGAAAAAGCTAGAGCTGGTAAGGATGGTAACTGAAATGAACACCAGGTTTTTTGGCCCTTATCATGTGTTGTTTCCTCTGCTCCTTGGAGAAGGATCCCGTTCACTGACAATTGTCTTAAGTTAAATTCTTAAAATTATCCATCCTCTGTTTGGGTCTTTCCTCACATCTTTCAAATGGGAGAAGAAGTCTTGATCTCATAACCTACAACATTTTGAATTACAGTTAATTTTTGTTCTTCCTACTCTTAGGCCATGCCAGAGTCTCCGTTCTAACGGGAGAGTTGATTAATAAGTAAAAAATTGATCTTTTTGCAACACCAAATTTAGTTTTCTTTCATTTTTTTCCCCCCCCAAATTTCTGTAAGCATTTATTGGCATGCCTTGACACAACTTTCCCATTTTTTGAAGTCAGCCATGTGCATTTCTTTCTAATTAGTCACTGTTAGTATGTTATATATATGAGTTTCTTCTAGCAGACTGGGAAGAGAAAAGTGATTCTTCCTTGACTCAGTCATAGTTTTATTCATACAGAAGACAGGCTTCTTTTGCAGTTTCAAACAAAACAGTACAATTCTGCATCAAAGCAGACATTTAACTGTTCTGATCCTGTTATAGGCTGTGTCTTTCCCCTCTGATAGGGGATGAGGGGAAGGAATTGTCCTCCTTTAAATTGTGGGAAGTGGCCTGTCCACATAAGTCAGTGTTAGATCTTGGTTTGAACATTAAAACAGTAACCTGGCTTGAAATAACATGTGCACATGGATTTTTCCACCCACAAGAAAGTACATCGTCTGTCATCTTCATAAACCTTGTTTTGGCCTTTTTTTTCTCCCTCCAGGTTGAAGAGCTGAGTGATTTGTACACTATCTGCATACAGGAGCATCTGGCCTGTCAGAATTGCTCTTTTGAAATAAAGAACAACAGCTGCATGTTAACTCTTCCTCTGCCAGTGTTGGATTCCAATTCTCACAGGCTGAAGACTCTGGTAAGTTTAGTGGCAACACTGTTCCCTTAGGAGA